CGCTGGACATCTGTGACGTCAAGAAACGCGCGGGAAAAAATTCAAAATCCGTCCTAGACAGCTATCAGGAGTAACCAGCAAGGTCGAAATCGACAACAAAAGGATGGCTACTGCTATGTCTAATTGAACGAGAGAGGAAGGGGTACAAACCGCGCGCGCGCGCACACACGCAAAAGTGTGGTAGGAAAGGGGGAAAACTCGTGCGCGCTTAAAATGTAGGTGGAATTACTGTGTTATTCCACACTAGCATCTCGGCTTCAGTCTATTTCCTGCCGCCGTAGCATGGCTTCCCGGTGCTATTTATTTAAATACTTTCATGATATTTGTTCTGATGATATTTCCTCTATGGTACCTAGACTTTATGAATTTAAACGCAGTACTAGATTGGCGGCTAGGTCTCATCATTTTACAGTTGAAATGGCTACATGTAACCGTAAGTTCTATGCCAACAGTTTTTTTTTCATTTGCACTTGTTGCTTCCGTTCAACTTTGATCTTTGAAACTTGAAATGTAATTCAACTCATTATCTCCAGTCTTTTGGAAAATTAAAGGCCATTTATTTCCAAGATGATTTTAGAAATAAAACCTCGATGTTTTTAGAAATACACCCTTGTGCAAATTAATTGAAACAACATTTTAGTTTCCTTTTTTTCACCCTACGGTCAGTTTTATACCCACTGGAATGACAGGGTGTAATCGATTTCTATTTTTTTTCCTCAGATTGGGTCATTTGCAGGGTTGTGCAGTAATATGAATCTATTTTCGGGGTGTATGATGAAATTTCTTTGGTGTTGAAAAAAAAAAATTGCATCATCCTTGATTGCATCAGATTTTTATCACGCTCAGACACTATTGTCTCGACTGTCGATTAGTTGTCCTACGGCCATTACCTGCGATGGACATTACTCCAAAGAAGCATACGAAAATTGTAACGCTGCACAAACACACTGGAAAACCTTACCACTGAGCAAATACGAAGTACTGACATGTGCACTGGGTCATATTCCATTAAAAAAAAAAAAAAAATAATAACGGAATTATTCGTTTTAAATTAATTTGCACAAGGTTGTATAACACACACAAACACACACACACACACACACACACACATATATATATATATATATATATATATATATATATATATATATATACTAGCAGTAGAGCCCGGCGTTGTCCGGGGATGTAACAGTAAGAGAAAGATCAAGTATCCACCATCATAAAGACTGAAAAATAAAATTGACAATGATTATTGTTTAAGGTTGACGGACACGCATATCTTAATTATTATTTTTTTTTTTTTTTACGAATTGGTCAGACCCAAACTCAAACAAAAACATTGTTTTCAATCGTTATGAGTCTCTACCGATTGTGCAAGACAATAAGAAACACTACATGCCCCCCCAAGTGAAGTTTTGTTTTATCGGCTGGAAAATATAGGAAATCCGCTCCCATATTTAAAGGAACCCACACACACAAACAACCCGATGTGAGTTGTCCCCCTTCCATTTTCACGATGTCGCTTAATCGTGTTTTCAAATTGATTTTGTGCAAAAACAATTGTATTTTTCCCATTTTGGGCGCTGTTAGAACCACCACAAGGTAATTTTATGTAGTCCTGTGAAGTTTTGTTGAAATCGGTTAAAAAATGTAGGAAATCCAATCCAATATATAAACGTTACACACACACACACACACACACACACACACACACACACACACACACACACACACACACACACACACACACACACAATCTGCGTTTTATATATATATATATATATATATATATAGAGAGAGAGAGAGATAGATAGATAGATAGATAGATAGATAGATAGACACTGATAGAGAGAGAGAAAAGGAGAGAGAGAGAAAATGGATAGATGTTATATATGCATGTTTATATATACATATATATATATATATATATATATATATATATATATATATATATATATATATATATATATATAAAAGGTTATATGACTAGTATTTTCAAGATGAGTTTCGAAATAAAATCTTGACGCTTCTGAAAATAAATCTTGACGCTTATAGATATAAAATCTTGAAGCTTCTAGAAATAAAACCTTGACACTTCTAGAAATAAAATCTTGAAGCTTCTAGAAATAAAACCTTGACACTTCTAGAAATAAAATCTTGAAGCTTCTGGAAATATATGACATCATCATTTCTACGAAAGAAGTATACATGTGTAACCAACTTAATTTTCGCTGTGAAATGTTTCTAAACAACTGGATGTATGATTTTGTAAAAAAACGTAAAACGCCTGCCTTTAGAATTAATGTGAAAGTGACGTCATATTGCACAAGATATTACGCTCATTTGCCTAAAGTGATTCAAGCAAATCAAAAGTAGTTTTAATATTACAAGTCGCCTTCTTTCCTTTGCATCTTTGATAGTTTTATGTTCAGAATTTAATTTAAAGAATTTTAGGTATTTCTCTTAATTAAAGTTGTAAAAACATAATTATATAAATCAA